TTTTTTTCAATTTTATTTTTTATTTTTAGTAGAAACGAGGTCTCACTATGTTGCCCAAGCTGGTCTCAAATTCCTGGCCTCAAGTGATCCTCCTGCCTCACCCTCCTAGAATGCTGGGATTACAGGCATGAGGCACTGTGCCTGGCCTTCTTTGCAGTTAAAATTATATATACATATATACATATACATATACATATACATATACATATACACACACACACACACACACACACACACACACACCAGCCAGGTGTGGTGGCATACACCTGTAAGTCCCAGCTACTAGGAAGGCTGAGGCAGAAGGATCATTTGAACCCAGAAGGTGGAGGTTGCAGTGAGCCAAGATGGCACCACTGCACTCCAGCCTGGATGACAGAGCAAGACCCTGTATATATCTGCAGGGCCCTGTTGTGAGTTTGTTACACAACTTACTGCAACTTAAATTGTGCCACCCGCCCCCCAACACACAATATGGCAAGCTAAATAGAAACTCAGATATGCTAAGGCTAGTTGAGGGCATTATACAAGATTAGCATGGACTGGGCCCTTCATTTAGCACTCTGCTGCATTCATTTTTGTCAGGTCACTTTCTTATCTTCACCACCTTGTCAAATCTGTTTTATTGCTCTAGCCTCGTTTTCTCAGCCTCCTGCAGCATCTTCCATGTCAGCTAGATCCCTTCCTCTCTGGATGATGTCCTCTTCATCAGCCAACTTTCTCACTTAGTTCTCTAACATAGTGAGGTTCTGTCTGCTTTTTTCTTTACCATTAGTGGATAGGAAAAATCCTCCTATTCTCTGTAACCATTTGTCATCAAGACCCGAAAGACATTGAACTAACTGCCTTATTGGAGTTCATTATTTGAAGCCTTCTGGAGTTTACACATTTATATACAAAGAAAATAGGCCAGCTCATTTGAGTCTTGGCTCATGTGTAATGATCTTTAATGCATATTGGAAAATTACTATTCTCAAGTAAGGATAATCTGTACCTCAGGTCATTTACAGTCTCAAAGATTTGTCAGTATACTTTAAAACAGTTCTGGGAACAGTTAAGGAGACTAAACAACCATGAAAACTAAATGCAATGTCTGATGTTTGATTGGATTCTGAATTTTTTTAAGCCATGATATGATTGGGACAATTGTGAAAATTTGTATATGGACTACATAGTAGGCAATGATAATATTAAGTTTCATTGGGTGATAATAGTATTCTGGTTATGGAGGAGAATGCCTTGGTTCTTAGGGGCTGCATACTGAATTATTTAGTGGTGAAGGCTCATTATATCTGCAACTAACTCTCAGATGGTTTGTCCAGAAAAATGTGTAGACATACATACATGGAAAGCAAATATGGCAAAGTATTAGCAACTACTGGGGCTAGGTGGGGAATTTAAAAAAAAAAAAAAAAGCAAGGAAAAAAGCAACTGTTGATTCCAGATGGAAGTTATACAGGTATTCATTATACCATTTGAAAATGTTTCCCAGCCATCCTAAGGCTTAAAGGAAAAAAGGAAAATGTTTAAAATAAGAAGTTGAAGGCATGAAAATAATAACAAAAACTTTGGGTTCATGCCTGTAATCCCAGCACTTTGGGAGGCCAAGGAGAGATGGCTGCTTGAGCCTAGGAGTTTCAGACCAGCCTGGGCAACATGGTGAAACCCCATCTCTACAAGAAATACAAAAATTAGCCAGGCATGGTGGCACGCACCTGTAGTTCTAGCTACTCAGGAGGCTCAGGTGGGACGATCACTTGAGCCCAGGGGGCAGAGGGTGCAGTGAGCTGAGATTGTACCACTGCACTCAGCCTGTGTAACAGAGGGAAACCGTGCCTCAGAACAAACAAAAGAAACACCTTTGTGTCAGAGTTAAGGTTGCTATATAAGTCAAATGCTAGGTTATGGCTCTGGGTCCATTCTTTCTATATGAAGATCAAAGGCTTCCACTGGACCCAAAGGAACACTACTAGTCACTAGTGGTTATTTCTCTATAGGTTTGAAAGCTGCGTCAGGCCAACTTACTGGATGCAGTTTTAATATAAAACTCTATACGTTTGCTTATACCCATTACTGGAGATAGTTTAAAAAACAACAACAACAACAAAAACTCTATACGTTGTACTCCCAACTCATAGACTTCATATGTTCATGAAACACTTTTCTGTTTTCACAGTTTTAGTGAGGTCCTGATAAAGTCATCCTTTTAAAGGACCCAGAAGAGACCCCCACAGCCTCTGCAATGTAATAATTATGGTAGTTAACATTTATTGAGCATTCACTGTGTGCCAGGCATTTTTCAGGTATTGATTCATTTAATCCTCAAAACTCATTAGAAGTAGGTACTATTATAATAACAAGGCCAAGGAACAGAGATTAAGCAGTTTGCCCAAATTCACATTAGAGGAGCTGGGATTTAAGCCTAGTCTGGCTGTGGAATCTGTATTCTTGATGACCATGCTATACTGCTTAAGAGTAACCTTGAGATTTACTCCAGTTAACAGAGGTTGTTTTTATCTCTCTAAAATGCCGCCAATAAGTCATAACAATAATCAATTATCTTGGTATCTCTTTTGCCCAAATTTATATTTTGAAAAAAACTCAAACATACCATAAAGATGAAAGAATAGTACAGAATCCAATCAAAGATCAGGCATTGCATGTCATGTCTTTGTTTCCTTTAGTCTAAAACATTCCTCTACTTTTTTTTATCTTTCATGATACTGGCATTTTTTTTTTTAATCCTGGATAGAGAATAACATACAAATTCAGTACGCGTGTGCGTGTGTGTGTGTGTGTGTGTGTGTGTGTGTGTAATTAAAAAACTGGCATTTTTTAAGAGTCAAAGATAGCTGTCTTGTAATTGTCCCACAATCTGGATTTGTCTGTTTCTTCATGATGAGATTCAAGTTAAGCATTTTAAGGAAGAATACTGCATAGGTGATACATCCTTCTGCCTCATGACCACAGGTGGCCCATAATGCTAAGTTTGATGACTTGATTAAGGTGATCTTCCAGATCTCTCCGTTGCCGTTATTTTGCTGGGTGCAGTGGCTAACAGTTGTAATCCCAGCACTTTGGAAGGCTGAGGTGGGCAGATCACTTGAGTCCAGGAGTTCTAGACCAGCCTGAGCAACAAGGTAAAACCCTGTCTCTAACAAAACAAACAAACAAAAAAAAAAATTAGCTGGGTGTGGTGGTGTAAGCCTATAGTCCCAGCTCTTTGGGGGGCTGAATTTGGAGGATCACTTGAGCCCGGTCGAGGCTGCAATGAGCTGTGATTTTGCCATTATATTTCAGCCTGAGTGAGAGAGTGAGACCTTGTCTCATAAAAAAATAAAAAACAATAATTATCCCCTTGGTAATTAATAAATAGTCTGTGGGGTGGTACTTTGAGATCAGTGAAGATCCTGTTCACAAGTGTCTTTTTACCCAACTGTGCATCAGTAGCAATTTTTGTCTGAGTCAATTTTTATTACATTGGTGGTTGCAAAGTGACACCTTTTAAATTTTTGTCATTCCTTCTACATTTACTAGATGGCATTACTTCATTAAAGAAAAACTCCCCCTCTTCCTTTTTTAATATCATTCTTCATTGATTCTTCTTTATATTAATTATGTTGTAGTTTATTGTTGTTATGTTTTTGAATGCTCAAATTGTCCAGATTTGGCCAATGCAATCTCTGTTCTTTTTTACCTCACAATGCATGTTAAACTAAGCTATTTTTAATGTCCAGAGAATTTCTAATATTTCCCACTCCCAACAGGAATTGAGAAAGGGACTACAGAAGTTGGGGGCTTATTCTGACTCTTCTTAGAAGTCTATCTTCTTCCTGTGTACTTTCAGCCCAAAGTGAAACTTTTGAGTTGGGAAGAGATACTTCTGAATTAAACTGCTGATCAGTGTCACCCAATTCTAATCCCAACCACATTTATTCTAGGCATACCATACTCCCTGCCATGCTTACCTTTGTTGTTCACCTGTGTCCTCCTTCCTGTGGCCTTCTGGTTCCTACCCAACTGTCCAGTCCATAGGCCTCAATAACACCTTTTTGCCCAGCCCTGTGGTAGCATTGGTCTGCCTCCTTTACCTACTCGAGAAACCCCTTTAGCACTAATTTATTGTTTTGTGTTTTTTTTTTTTTTTTTTTTTTTTTTTT